CTGTGTGGTTATGGATAAATCATACATCTATGAAAGTGCTAGTGTTTGCTCAATGTAAATGACACTCAGACTAATTGAAAATTAGACATCATCTGTAAAACTTTATCCACTTTTTGGGGTCGTAAAAATGGAAAATATGCCCAAGTTTTTGGAAAATAAACCATATAAGTTCATGTATTCTAGAACAGAGATTTTTCTTTTGAGCCCCCTTTTTTTTCCCCAATTTTACAGTCCTGTCATTTTGAAAGTCTTCATATTATCTACATATGTTTCACTTCACAACAAGGCATAAAGAAGCCCAAATTGCGGAGATTCCATATTTGGAATCATTAAAGCATGTCAAATGATGTTAATCTATCTGGTTTAATTGTACTGATGAAACACTTCCTTTAGTATTCTCCAATGCTGAAATATTCAAATCGGGTAATCAGCTGATAGGAGACTTAAATGAGATTGAAAGAAGTTGATATTGCATTATAGGGTTCTACGTCTAATTGTAATGTCATGGTTTCTAGTACTTATCTTATGTGACTACAAATTGATATTCTTCTGCACAAGTTTTGTTCTTTAGTCAGTTGGGTGGTTGACCTTTGGGAGGTTTTGCAGGCAGTGCAAAATCTAATTGATGAGGAGTTCCAAGGGATTGTACATTTGCGGACATCAACATTGCATAAAAAAGTTGCATCTGCTCGTCATGATTTCATTAAACTTTCAGGCTCTGAAAACAAGCTGGAAGCATTACTACAGGTCCAATGTTGCGCACCATATATGATTTCTTTTGTTTTCTTTTTTGTTTATCAATTAGTGACTATTTTTGTATAAAGATAAGAAACTCATAATAGCAATGTGTAGCACTATACAATACTGTGTTATTTATCCTGTGAAGAGCATCTTCAGTTTATAGTTTGGTATTCTTAATGATAGATGCTTTTGTATGTATCCAGTATGAAACATGAAGAGCTCTTTAGTTCGACTATTTATGTGGACAAGAAAAAGCATTTGTTAGTTGCTTTGTATTGCATCAGTCTAACAGTGGGAGCTTTATTTATTTATGTTTTTGGGTGGAAAGCAGGTTTTAGAGCCTAGTTTGGCAAAAGGAAACAAAGTAATGGTATTCTGTAACACACTTAATTCCAGTCGTGCTGTCGACCACTTTCTCAGTGAAAATCAGACATCGACTGTCAATTATCATGGCGAGGTGCCAGCAGAACAAAGGTAAGACCAAGACAGAACATTATAACATATTATCTCCCCAGCAAACTAAACCCCCTTTTCCATTTCATTCCCAATCCAGATGTTTGTCTTTGTACAGTTGTGACTTGTGAAGGCAATAATTTGTGATATACGTTTCTGTTGTAAACCATAGAATGGTTTTAGCACCAATAGACCATTTCGAAGTTCTGCTGAAAATTATCTTAAAATTCTATTTATGAAGTCTTTCTCCTGCTTTGTATCATCCTTTTTGCGTGTATGCTGCTTTTCTAACTCGCCTGGCTATTACATCAGATTTGAACTTGAAATTAATTTATCCTGCTTGGAATACTTTTTCCTTAAATTACCTAGATATAGGCATTATTTAAGTACAATTTGTTATGTTTACGCTTTAGGTTTTTAGAAAGTATCCATTTCAAATGCTTTTTTGGATTTTGCACTTCTTGTAAAAGGGATATTTGTGAACATTCGCTGCGATCAGCTATACTCCATTAGAATTCCTTCTAAGCCTCAAATTTCTTTCTTTAAAAAAAAAAATAATAAAATTAAAAAGAAAATCTTTTTTCTTCTATGTTCTTCCTATGCAAAAAGCAAAGTATCGTTTTACTTTGCACTTCTTGTAAAAGGGATATTTGTGAACATTCGCTGCGATCAGCTATGCTCCATTAGAATTCCTTCTAAGCCTCAAATTTCTTTCTTTAAAAAAAATAATAATAAAATTAAAAAGAAAATATTTTTTCTTCTATGTTCTTCCTATTCAAAAACAAAATGACAATTGACTTCTAGTTCTAACGTGGTTGAACTGTCTTCATTGAATCAAAGCAATCTAAATTCAAGAGAGAATAGCTGATTAATGTGAAGATTTTGATGTCCCATTTTAGTATTTAACATCCTATCATTTGAATTACAGGGTTGAAAACCTCAAAAAGTTTAAGACTGAGGATGGAGATTGCCCCACACTGGTCTGCTCAGACTTGGCTGCAAGGGGGTTGGACTTGGATGTAGATCACGTCATCATGTTTGATTTTCCATTGAACTCTGTAAGCATCAGCTTCTTGTTGGGTCAATTTTTGTTCAAGTTTTTTCACTTTCAGTTTTTCTTTTAATCCTAATCATTTCTGCTTTAAAAGCTCAACCTTAATCTCTATTTATTTTTTAGATTGACTACCTTCACCGTACTGGAAGAACTGCTCGTATGGGTGCAAAAGGTGCAACAACTCTTTTTCTTGAATTTCCTTCTTATTCCTATTTTCTTGAGCGAGCATACAACAAAGGCATTGTAACTTTAATAATCTCTGCCCGTCCTATTTTTACCTACCCCGTGAAGTTGGAAGGCCCTCTTAAATTGTAGGTATCGATTTAGGGGTAAAGAAATGATTTACCTTGTCTAGGAGAAGATAAATAAAGTATGAAAAGAGGACCTGAGACTTGCTCTAAATTCATGGTGTGCATTGTGAAAATTAGATTTAAAAGCATGAAAATTATCTAATATTTTAGCTTCTCAAGCTACATCTTCCTATGTTAACAAGCAAATATTTCTTTGGATGGTTTTTCCTGTTCATTTTTTTCGTAGTCCTTCCTTTTGTTGGCTAAATTCGTGCAATGGCATTTGCTATTAGCAGTGCAGCATGGCTAAGCCTTTTTTAAGTGACTGTTTTCCATAAATGTTAAATTAATACATTTCTTCCTTTTGCAGGGAAAGTGACAAGTTTGGTTGCTAAGAAGGACGTTGCTTTAGCCACCCGAATCGAGGAGGCGATGAGGAAAAATGAAAGTTTGGAATCTCTATCTGTAAATAGTGTGCGGCGGGACATTGCCAGGGCCCGAATAACTGAGCAGAAGGGGAAAAATGAAAAATTAATTAAAGTTGCAAAGCAGAGAAGCAGAGATTCAGCAAAATCATATCAGGATCAAGGAGTGAAATCCAAAAAGGCATCTGGTCCAGCTAAATTTGCAAAGGCAAGCGTTAAGGTATCGAAAACAGTAAAGCTCTCCGGTGCAAGTAGCTCAAGAAAATCTTCTTCGAGTGCAAGTAGCTCAAGAAAATCTTCTTCAAGTGCAAGTAGCTCAAGAAAATCTTCTTCCAGTGCAAGTAGCTCAAGAAAATCTTCTTCGAGTGCAAGGAAGCAAGTAGTGAACAAAGGATCCAGTGCGGCAAAATCAACTTCTTCAAAATTAAACGTTGTCGGGTTTAGGGGGCGGAATTCTTGGTCAAATAAGAAAGAACCAGCAATGGCCAGATGATTGTAGGTGAGTTTTGGCTTAGTTTATGATTGATTGCTTATCAAATTTGCAGTTACCATGTAAGTTTGGCATCCAAAATTATCTTTGTAATATTCATACAAAATTTTCCCTGCATCAAATTTTAGTGATATTCATTCACTTGGTGGGTTCTGAATACAAATATTCAAACGAAATATGTTGCTATTCACCAGTTCATCCATTGAGACCTCTGAGAAGGATATGTCTCAAGAAAATCCGAGGACGATAACAATGTGTCGATAGAGTAGTAACAACAAGAACAAATTTGATATATACCTATCCATATGTATAATATATAATATATATAAAACTGAAACTGGCTTTCCCTCGTAGCCTACTTCCAGGTTAGTAATAAACGCGGACTTTTGGCAGGTGTGACAACATTCCCTTCCGAGTCATAGATTATGACACCAGAAAAGTCGGGCAGTTGGCACTTTCCACCCATCAGTATGTTCTTCTGCCAAACCGAGACTTCTTGTTCATCGCTAGCATCCGTGCTTCGTTCGATATTTCCGTGTTGAATGTGCATAACAGGATCATCGGTGTCGGGTTCATAGCAAGCTCTCCATTCACGCCATCTACGCGAGTGCGAGGCGCACATGAACAGCGCCATGGCGCACAGGAAAAGGGTCATCCCTCCCATGCCAAGTTGAAACGTGTTTGTACTTTGTGGGTTGTGGGAGAAGAGAGGAAGCTGGCGAGCCATTGAGGTGATATGATACGCATGATATGGTTAAATACAATATATATAATGATAATCCAAATGGGAGGAGTTGGATTTTGAGGATTTGTTAACAGTTTGCGTAAGAGAGTGGTTTTGGTGATCTTTGACTTCCTTCTCTCCTTTCCGTTCTTAATGTTAGTTATGCTGATGATTATCTAGTTCATGGATCCTTTTTGAGTAGGTGATCCATCTCTCTCTCCCTGGACGACAACTCCACCACCTATTCCGATTAATTATTGAGAAATAAGTAAATCAATGTGGTCATTTTTAGCTATTTAGGCTCTGTTAAAAAAAAAAATTAAAAAAAATACAAAGAATCCCGAGAGAATTCCAAAAATCCCCTCATAATTCCTTTCAATTTACGGCCGGGGTATCAAGCTTATTTGATTGACGTATCAAGCCATATTTCAGTACTATATCCCCTAGTCACGTTGCTCTTATTGAGATAACTAATCAAACTGATCGACCAAAGTAGACAGAAAATGGGATTCATCCTACTCACATAGTGCTATCTGACGTATGCGAGTACTTCGTTCATTTCGCAGATTCCTATATCCCCTAGTCACGTTGCTCTTATTGAGATAACTAATCAAACTGATTGACCAAAGTAGACAGAAAATGGGATTCATCCTACTCACATAGTGCTATCTGACGTATGCGAGTACTTCGTTCATTTCGCAGATTCGAATTTTCAATTCAAGCTGAGATGTGACATTTTTTTAGAGCTTTTCACTGTAACAAAAAAAGTTAGATGTGACATTTTCTGTGAGTTTTTTACTGTAGAAACCTAAAACTGAAAATTTGAATCGGTGAAATAAACGAGGCCGAAGATTTATCTCATAAAAACGCCCATATATTAAGGTATTACCCTATGGGCGTTCCCTTAAACAGTTTGTACATGAATTATCAAGGCCAATTGTAAAAAATAAGCCCACATTTAAAACTTATGTTAATAAATAACTAATTTACCAATGTACAAAAATTAATAGGGTCTTTTTATGTTTTGAATTTTTTACTTTTTTTTTTCTCTCTCTCTCTCTCTCTCTCTCTCTCTCTCTCTCTCTCTCTCGCTCTCGTTTGTCGGTATGCTCTCTCTCGTTTGTCGGTATGCTCTTCTCTCTCTCATCACCAATCGTAACTTTACTAATGTACGATAAATACTTTTTAATTATGCTCATAAATCTAGAATTTATCGTACGGTAGATCCAGGATTTACCATTAGCACACATATTGTGTTATTCGTAAATCTTGTATTTATAGTGTAAATCTAAGTTTTACCATATAAGATTTACTATCAGAACACAATTCCTATTCTTTTGTAAATCTTCAATTTGCACTGTAAATCTAGAATTTACTATGATCAGTAGAGATAACACTAGTTTTTGAATCCCATTCGTGAAATTTCAAACATCAAACCCGACTGAATGTAACTAGTCCCGGCAAGGAATGATTGCTAACAACATGCAAAGCCTTATAAAATGGAAATGGGACCATGCGAGCTCCATTGATTCAGCATAAGCAAACAAAGAACACTGATCAAAATCAAGAAGAAAGACCTAAACTTGCCAATTGTACAAATTTAATTTATTTCGGAACGACATTGGTCTATATGTCGTGACAAATTGTACCGTACTGTAAAAACACTCTTATGCAGTACAATTCATGACAATGCGTCAAAGGGTACAAAAAGCGAACACTAGTTTGTATTCAACAAATATCCAACTTCCGGCCTGATAAATTTCAGCTACTATGATAAAATCCAACTAAAGGTATAAATCTCGGTATGTCAGTATCTAACTGAATAAGCAAAAAAATTACAACTCGCGAAGCCCTCTAGAATGGACTCCCGGCAAGAATAAAAATGAAATGAAGTCACTGATGGAAGTCCGACTGGGTTCGATGCTTCGGCATAAACATACGAAAAAGTTGAATACGACGAGATCCTCATGAAGATGGCTGAAGAGAGTGGACGACCTCTTCAGCTTTTTTCTTTAGAGCTTCTGGTGACTCGAGGAGATGAAATGCTTCTGTTTGGTCTATTTCAACTGTTATCGCGGCAACTTCTGCGTGACTACTTTCAAGATGCTCCACAAGGGAAGATAGATCTTCACGTAGAACCTAGAATTTTATGCAAATATAGAAACTCAATAAAACTAACAAGCGGTCCCTAAAAATGTGTGAAAGAATTCCAAAACTAAGATGACAGACCAGTCTCCCGCACCTTTGTTATCATTGAAGTAACCAAAATAGTTTGTACACTTTGATCATTAGAGTTTGATGCATGTTCCTTTAGTGGACTCAGGAATTTCTGAATCTCAGGACCTAAGCCATGATTAAATATATCATCCACCTCATCGAATACCTATTAAAAATCAATGTCATCATTCAATATAGTACAAGACATAAAAAGAATTTCAAGTCTAACAAAAGAGACAAGAAGACTTCTACATCCGAGGAAAATTGAGAACTTTGGTACTAATTGAACTAAACAATGCACAAGGGAACTAACCAAGTATCTGATTTCATTAGGGACAACGCTACCCTCCTCTATTTTCTGAAGCACTTCACCAGGTGTTGTAACCAATAGGCCAACTGAAGCATCCGATGCATCTTCCTGAACGTTAGACTCAAGTTGACCATCCTCCACTGTAGTCTTCGACTTCACAGGTTTGAGAAGGAACTTTACCACAGTAAGGAGCTGCAGAGCCCATTAATGTCAATCCCAGGAGAACCGTTACAATTCTTTGAGACAGCATGAAAAGGTTAGGAAGGAAAGAGAAAAGACAGAACTAGACCTTCTCGGCAAGCTCCTTTGTGGCACACAGAACAATAGCTCGGGGAACCTTGGGCTCTTCACTGGACAATTTCGCATCCCGTCTTAGGCGCTACAAGAACAAAACATCTCAGAAGCATTTCATAAATACTCGGAAAATCACAATGCACCCAATTTCATCGCTCCATAAATTTAAGCATTAGCGTGAGGAATCAGAGAAGAAATTACTTTATGAAACCTGATAACAAATATACACAGTAAATAATGCCCATTCATTCATTTCAAAATAGTAGGCTTCTTTTGGAATTTGAGGAATGTATTAATAAAGACAATTCTTACCGCACCAACTAACAGGACAAGTTTTGTTTCACATACGTTTTCAAGGCAAAATCACAGTTTTTCTTTCTTTCTTTTTTTTAATTTTATGGCCACTTAAACAGAAACAGAAATGACAAACCAAAAAGCATAACAAATACATCTCATCAATTGACATACGACTTGCATCGAAACATAGAATATCTCTTATGACAAACTTTACATGGACATTTTTTTTAATGACAAAGTCAAGGCCATATTTTCTCAAACGAACTTCATTTGTGTCGCCACTCAGTGTCACTCAAATACATATATCATCATAAAATAGAAATCATTCACAAAGCAAAGGGCAGAACACTTACAAGTGGGAATCAATTACGTATAACAAAGCAAAAACGATCAATTTCAGCAAAAAAACAAAACAAAACACGACCCAGAAAAAGGAAGCACAAGTGCACAACAAAAACACAAAATCTGGATTACCTGAATCAAAGGCAACAAGTAGGTTAAGACCCCAAGAGTGAAAGACCCAACAGACTCATTATGAGAAGTGAGAACCAAACTCTTCCCTTTCAAGATTGGAGGAATCCCAGCACAGTGAATCTCCGCAGGAAACAGAATACCCAGCTCCTTAACAGCCTCAGTCAGCCGCTGGCCCACACCCAGATGCCGAAAACTCGCCAGCTTCGCCTCATTCATCTCCTTATAAGAAATGGGTTTCTGCGGGAGAACCATGTCGCTTCTGGGGTTCGGTTGTTTGTCGACGTTGTTCAGACGAGTGGTGGTTTCGATGGTGATGTGGGCGATTCCGGTGGAAGAGAGAAACCTGCTGAGACCGAGAAGAGAAGTGTCGGGGTTCGTGGGTGATCGGCGGGGAAGGTTCGAGTGGCGAAAACAGAGTTTCAGAAGAGCTCTTGCTGCTGTTGATGTTCCTCTCATGGCTTTCCTCGCCTTCGTCGCCGCTGCTTTGCCGGTTCGGTTTGTTTTCTTCCTTCTACTCTCTTCGCTCCGAGTGAGGTGTATGGAGGTGTTGATTTGTAGCGCTTGTTTATGTTTGGGCCTAGAGTAGGCCCAAGTGGAGATGAGAGTACTTGGAGGTTCATGGGAGAAAGGTGGTCGAGGAAACAAGGAGAAAGGCACAAGTATTAATTTTTATATGTTATTTTTAATTAATATTTTGTTTAGTTAAATAATTATATTAATTAAAATGATATTAATTAAAAATAAGAGGTAAAAATTCACACTCATACGCTTGTTCAGTTCGCTGATTCAAGTTTTTTTACGGTGAGAGTTTTTTACTGTAACAAAAAAGTTAGATGTGATTATTTCTGAGAGCTTTTTACAGTAACAAAATTCAAATCGGTGAAATAAATGGAGGTAATTTCAGCAACTTCTTTAAGGGTAATTTAAAAATGGCTGGAAGTTTTGAGAATGAAAATAATGAACAAAATAAAAGTGAATTTCTTCTTAAAAAAATAATAATAATAAAAGTGAATTTTTAAACTATCATGTCTCACCTCTCCCTAAATCCTGCGACCATAGGACTCAATCGACGGGCTGCCTTATCATGGCGACAGGGGACAAAGAAGGCTTGCCACGTCACGACAAGGCTCGTGACATTATCGCGAACTCGAATCTCATTTTCTTCTCTATCTATAGATCCTTTATTGGTGGTGGTAGTCATGTTAGGGTTAGTTTCAAATCTAGACTAGAGTATTGGAAAACCTTACCCAATTAGGATTAGTTTCAATTTGGGTATTTCCTTTTTCCAATTTGAGGTAAATAAAAACTTATATTTGGTGATAAAAATTGATAAATTATATTTTTATTACATGAATGATGAATTTACTAGGTAAATAATATATCTACTAACAATGGATTGAAAATATTCAGTAAATAATACCTTTTCTAATAAATAAATTGGTAAATACTCGGTAAATAATGATTTTTTTAGGTATAAAAAGTAGTAAACAAAGTATTTATTTAGTATAAAATTGTTAAATGCTAGGTCATCAAACGGCAACTCCGGAGGGGCATCTCAACTTCCAACTGTTATTGAGGTCTAGGTCCAACCATATCATATATATAATTGCTCAACTCAGAACGTCAAATCTCGCTTCATCGAACCTGACAAGACTCCCGATCTTCATCGGCAAGCAACAATATCTCACAATATCTTTCCAAAGCTGCCTACAAGGAAGGCATATTAGCCTTTTATACAAGCAAATGATGAAATAACTAGGCTGGCAACTTAAATGACATAAACATGAAGGACAAAACAGAAGATATTAAAGCCTAGTTAGTTTTGTAAATTTGAGTTTTCAATTTGAATTAAAATGAACGAACCCTAAAAAAATTAGATGTGACATTTAATTGTAAAAATTTAAAATTAAAAACTCAAATCGATAAAATGAACGAACCCTAAAACTTCTCAATACCGTTAGGGTCACTAATTTTAATCTCAATTCTTATACCAATTTTTAAATTATCGTCCTTTTTTTAATAAATATTTAAAAAATTATCATGTCAATTAATAACTAAATAACTCAAAAATTAGTATAAAAGCGGCATGTTTAGTTTGCTGATTCGAGTTTTTAATTTGAGTTGAGATGTAATTTTATGTGAGAATTTTTTACTGTAGTAAAAAAGTTAGATGTGATTAGTTATGATAGCTTTTTACTGTAACAAAACTCAAATTCTAAACTCAAACTAGCGAAATAAACAGAATCTTAGAAAGATCCGTGCGCTTTCAATGCCAGAGCCAGATGAACGATAAGACGCTGGAAATATCTATCTTTTTCTGATTGATTTGTTGAAGTGGACGACGCTCGTAAACTTCGCTCTTCACTTACACTATTAACTCACTTTAATAGATGTGTTGTTAAGTTTTTTCTTTTTTAATTTGCGGGAAACAAAGGAAACAATAACAGGGGATAACGGATTTGGGCGCTTCTGTTTAGTCCACGTGGAACTAACAATATACTGGTTTTTGCTTAGAAAAAGAAAAAAGAAAAATACACAATATAGCATATTTAATACAAAAAGTAGAGGCCCCGTTTGTAATTTAATACAAAACAATTTAAATTACAACCCGACTTTTTTGATGCAGTATTTCTCTTAAGAAAATAAAATGTTCAATTGGTATAATCGCTTCTTTCAATCTTTTGGATAAAATGGTTAATTAAACCAACATCAACATTAAAAATTTCTCATATAGTTCATAAATTCTGGTTTTAGAATTGGCTTCTAGCACCATGTAATCTCAAAAAATAAAATAAAATAAATAAATTGGTATAATTGATTCTTCCGATGTTTTCATAAAACGGTTAATTAAACCAACATCAACATCAAATTTTCTGATGAAGTTCATAAAAAGTGACAAGGAAAATTCAACTCTGAGTATTTTAGCACGGTCTCAATCGATTTGGAATTTCAAATCACTTGTAATGTTCAGGTTTCAAAACACCAACATAAGGCAGATTCCTGTATAATTCGGCAAAGTCCATCCCATATCCCACAACAAAGTAATCTGGACACTGCAAGACAGATTAAAGACAAAAAAAGGTCTGAAATGTCATTGTATGGTAGTAGTGGTCATATGCGACACCAAGACAACTATGGAGACGTTTGGTTCATAGATTAAAATCATAAGATTAAAATTATTTTTGATTTACGTGTATTTTTTGTGAGAAAAGATACTGTAACGAACTATGAATTATGATTCAAATCGGGATACAAATTCTCTAACCAAACAACTCCTATATGTTTCGGCAAAAAGAGTGGATGCATAAAAATCAAAATGATGAATTGCTCGTGTTAATTCATATAACAAAAAGTACACCCTGCTTTCTAGCATATTTTTCCCCATTTTGGTCCTTTGTTCCTAAAATGCTTTATATTTTTGGGAAATTGCAATTGAAATTTGCTTTTTAAACATTAATCATGATGAAATTAAAGTAGGGGTGTTAAAAGCTTGCAAATAACCAATTCACTCAATCCAATCCAATCTACAAAGTGTGAATAGCCAAATAAGTGCATATTGGATTAGATGGAATTTGTTAAAAATGGGTTAAATTCGGATCGATTGTTGCTCATGTAAAAAGTAATTAGTCAAAACGGTCCGCACTAACTATAGTTTATGTTTTTACGTGGAATTGTGAATCTTAGTTTTGTTATCACTTGTCTAAAGTGACAACGAATTTAATAATTTAAGATTGGATTAGTTTTCATTTTTAATATCACTTCACTGTTTAAATTCGCAAGCATGTTGTATTTTTCAAAAGAAAATATTTTGGATAAGAAATTTTCAAAAAAAAAATCCAATTTTTGGGGACTAGATTCAAAACATAGGGGGAAAAAAAATCAATCCAATCTGCGTACATGATATCATATAGGATCATATGAGTATTGAATTGCAGATTGGATTGCACATGTCCAATGATTGGATTAGTTGGTTTGTTGAACACCGTAAAATTAAGATAATTTTTTTAATACCATTCTTAAGCAAACTTGTTATAATAATTGAACATTATAAGAATTAGAGAAATGTTAATGTTATTTTTTCTATTATTTTTTATATTTATTATTTGATAATAAATTATATTATTTAAACACAAAATAAAATAGGAGAGTCAACGTGTCAGTAAATTATAAACAAATAAATATAAATTATAATTTCTAATAATGCATAAATTTAGGGAGGGAAAACAGGAAAAAAAATAAATAAATGGATAATCAAGAATCCCTACCTCAAATCCAGCATAAAACTTGCCCTGGCCAACAAGCTCAAACTGAACTTTTCTCCTCGCTGGTTTATCAAGAAAAGTACACACCGATACAGACGTCGCTCCTTTGGATTTCAAGTGCTCCACCAGACACGCCACTGTGCTTCCCGTATCCACAATGTCCTCAACCTGGCGCCAAAAAGTCCAAAACACCCTTCCAATTACCACCAAACACACCATCACATACATTTTCTCGAGAAACAAACAAACAAGCAGCTAAACTTCACATATTACGTTACCAGGATTACGTGCTTTCCCTTGACATCGAGCTTCAAACCGGAGGAGATTCTCGGTCGGCCGGAGGACTCGGTGCCGGAGCCGTAGGATTCGGCGCGGACGAAGTCGACGGAGACGGGAAGGCGGATGAGGCGGACGAGGTCGGCGAGGAAGAGAAATGCGCCGGTGGCAACGCCGACGACGGCGACGGAGGGAGGCGGAGAGAGGGCGGAGAGGTCGGCGGAGATTTGGGAGGCGAGGGAGGAGACTCGGGCGGCGATCTGGTCTTGGGTCCAGAGAACCCTCTCTATGTGGGAATCCATGGAAATCTCTCTTGTTGTGATTCCGCTGACTCTTTGGGGTGTTTGTGTAGGTTTTTTCTGGCTTGGCCCTTTGGGCGCGAGTCCTATACATATGACTTGAAGACTGAAGTATATAAAAAATGAAAATACTTTACAAACAAAATAAATTAAAATCTTTATGATAATTATTATGTAATTTTATAGACTAAAATATGAAAACCATTATAGAAATGGGAGTTTCTCACGTGCACCCATCTTTTTGGGACCGGTAGGCCTAGTAAATTTTTAATTTCTATTGGCTGTCATGTGTAAGGTGTACGATAACAACATGTATTCAACCACATAGTATTTTTTCTGCTTGGTCTTTTGAATTCATCTTTCCTTGCTTTCTGTGCTGTCTTTTTTTCTCGTCGACAACTCTTCAGTGGACGCTGGAGCATCAGCA